TATATATATATAATTTTGATTACAAAGACTTGAGAACTCTTTCCACCAATCCTGTAAATTTTGACTGGGTTAAATTTAAACTTAGATAAAATTTACTTTAAAAACAAAAATAAAATTTAGTCAATATAGTCAACTTATTAATTTTAACAAGTTAACTTTTATGTTTCCCAGTGAAAGTTCATCTTATAGTTAACATAATACTCCACCTAGCTGTTGAGAGGTTATAGGCACATAAACTCTAATTAGTAATACTTTCAAAGTTTAGGAGTAGATAAACAATGTATCTAGTTAAGGTCTCTCTCTTTCCAGAGATGACTGTCTTATGGTTTTCCCTTCCTGTATTTCTGTGAGATATAGGTACTTGCTATCAGCTTGGTGTTTTCTTAAAGCACCCTTTAGGTGCCCTTAACCTCTTGTTCTCTAAGGCAGGGTTTGTCAAACATTTTTTGTAAAGAGCCAGATATGAAGAATCTTTGGCTTTGTAGGTCATACGGTCTTTGTCACAACTGCTCAACTCTGCTGTTGCAGCATGAAAACAACCAGAGACAATACATTCATGGCAGAGTGTGACAGTGTTCCATTAAAACTTTACAAAAACACACAGTGGGCCAGATTTGGCCTATGCACCATAGTTTGCTGACCTAAAGGAATTCTCTGCATTCGTCCAGATTGTGGTCCTTCTTTTTTCTCTTCCACTTGAAGGATATTTAGGAGGCATGGTAAGGATGCATCCATGCCTGCAGGTATATGTTCATCCTCCTGTTCATATCTTCATTCAGCACCATTTACTGAGCTCCTCCCGCATGCCAACGTGCGTGTTCTGGACATTACAGGGAGCTCTTGGTAAGCAGCAGCAGCGTCATCCTCAGAAGGGTGTAAAATTTAAGCCTATGCTGGCACAGAGACTTGAGGGGGAAGAGCTCTGTGGAGATTGGTATGCACACAGCAGATTCTCCACGAAAAGTTTTAGACATGGAAAAACCATGCCAGAACATCTGTATAGGAAAGCTGGACCACATACTTGCTCTGTCATCCATCTGTGAGGTCTGAAGACTCTTTTATTTTTAATCAGTTTTGTTTCTTCTTGAGAATTGTTTTCTCAGCCTCCATCCCTTTTCTTCATATACTGCTGCATGGTCTAAGATCTTGTCTGTCTGAAGTTGAACCCACTGAATTAGTGCTAAACATCTTTCTGTTAGGCTGAGTGACTAAGTGAAAATACTAGTTTTATTATCTGTGAAATGAAAGATTTGGACTCTCTAAGATCTCTTTTGGCTGTTACTCTTTTTTGTTAGTTTTGTGGCAGTTGTAATCGTTCACCTAAGGACTCCTCATAGTAGAAAAAGAATGCCTTTGAAAATACCGAACTGGTGAATACTGCTCTATTACGCTCTTTAAGGTAGTATATTATTTGATCTCACGAGAAACTAAGGCAAGAATATAAACATAGTGTTGCCAAAACAGTACTACTGAGAAGGCTACTCAAAGTGCATAACTTTGTTTATGAATAGCATGTGGTTTTTATATTACTGACAGTTAATACAAGAATCTCAGAATATTCTACATTAGAGATAATACCACAAATATATCAGAAATGAATTTGATCTTTTAGTGTATATTTAAAAAATAATCTCTTGAAATTTTGACAGTGAAGCATTTTTCTTCCTTTTTTTTTTTGGAGATGGAATTTTGCTCTTCTTGCCCAGGCTGGAGTGCAGTGTGTGCGGTCTCAGCTCACTGCAACTTCCACTTTCTGGGTTCAAGCGATTCTCCTGTCTCAGCCTCCCAGGTAGCTGGGATTACAGGTACCTGCCACCATGCCTGTTTAATTTTTGTATTTTTAGCAGGGATGGGGTTTCACCATGTTGGGCAGGTTGGTCTTGAACTTCTGACTTCAGGTGATCTGCCTGCCTCAGCCTCCCAAAGTGTTGGGATTACAGGTGTGAGCCACCACACCCAGCCAAGCATTCTTTATTGTACTGAATAAAGTTTTTTGTTTAAATTCACAAGTCTGTTGGAGGCAGTTTGTTCCTTATGCTATTTTTTTAAACAATCATTGATTGTAGACCGTAGTTTGAACCAAGAGTGGAGGTGGTGGTCTAAAGCAGAGGGTGGCAAGCTGTGGCCTGTGGACCAGATCCAGCTCACCACCTATTTTTGTAAAAGTTTTGTGGGAACAGAGCCACACTTGATTTACGTAGTGTCTGTGGTTGCTTTTGTACTATGACATCAGAGCTGAATAGTTGTGAAAAAGATGGTATGGCCCAGAAAGCCTCAAATACTTACTGTTTAAATATTTATCCTGCTAGAATAAGTTTGCTCACTCCTAGTCTGGAGCATTGCTGTCCAGTGGACCTTTCTGCAGTGATGGAAATGGTCTATATTTGTACCATTCAATATGGTAGCTTTTAGCTACGTGACATTCATGCACTAACTCAGTGTTAAAGTGAATTAAATTTTAATGTTAAATAGATTTTTTTAATTAATAAATGTGTCTTGTGGCTACTGTATTTGACAGTTCAGGGCTGGATTTTGAAGATGGGGGTGTCTTGTGGTTCTAGAGTAGCTATCGTTTCATATTGAATTCAGCGAATGGAAACTTATGTACCTCTTGTGATGACAAATAAGTATTGTATATCATATGTACCTATAAATGTATGAGCTTTTAAAAGTTTGTTTTGATTTCAACAATTTCATATAATACTATTTTTCCTCTGCAGTGAGGAGGAACTCCCAGATCATAATGCAGCTGTGGAACGGGTAAGTCCCACTCTTGATTTATTTACAGTTACTGGTGAATTGCCTTTGTTAGAAGAATAGAATTGACCACCTTTGTGATTTTAAGTGCCATATTATATGGAAATGGTACAGTCATTGTTAGATTTTGGACCTCATTATGTCACTGTAAGATAGTAATAATGGTGAAATAATTTTAGGAGATTTTAGGAGATTCTGATAGGTGCTTGAAAGACTTCATTCTAGACTGGCAGGTCCCAATCTAGGTTTTGAGAGGCTTTGAGAGCACAGCTGCCCAGGTCCCCCCTCAGTCTATGAAATCAGCCTCTCTGGGGAGCAGCCTCTTGGTAGGTAATTTTTAAAGGCTTCACAAGTGATTCTCATGTACCCTGTGGCAAATAAAGCACCATTCTAGACCAGCAGCTCTTTGAAACATGACTGTTCCATGAGATTTTAGTAAATTTCTTACAAGAACCAAAATCATTTTCTGTGGGTATTTTAGTATTTTAAGTACTTAGAGAAGTGTTACATAGTAAACTTGTCAACATTTTAAAATCTTTCCTTGTTATGCATAGCAAGGAACTGGTTCCACACCCAGGCATGCCTTTGAAGTAGTGATGGAATGTTTTAAGGTTGCTTGAAATCTCCCTTCTCGTCCCCACTTTTTCTGTACCCAAAAATGAACTGTAGAATGAAAGTGGGGGTATTGACTGGGATTTTTATCAGTTCATATATGTTTGATGAGGACAAGGGGCTGAATTTCAGATAATGAAGGTGAAATTGGAATTGGAATATGAAAAATATTTTAGAAAATCTTCCTGATATCAAACTTTTCTGAAAATCAAAACTGTAGCAAAACCTTAAGATGTAGATGAAATTGCCATTTTACGTATATAGAGAACCCTACAGGCAGACCTGCAGTTGAATTCTTTTGTGACTGCTTGGTTCTCTCTCAGTATCATAACCTAGAGGTTTCAGCAAATGAATATCTTTCTTTTAATATCTACATTATTGAATAGCAACTGTGTATCAAGCACTGGCCTAGTTCTGCATAGAATGCTAGGATTAAATAAGACATAGTTTCTGCCTTAGAGAAGCTCACATCCAGTGACTACAGGAAGATCCAGTATGACAACAGGTAGGAGATGACTGGTGGCTTGGTGGGGCCACAGTATATGTGAAATGTAGTGGTAGTGCAGGTGGAGGGGAAAGGCAGATTCTTTGTTGCTGAGGAATGACTGAGAAGGAAGTAATGACTAATGGTGAGAACTTAGTAATGCTGCCCCTGTGAACTTTGTGGCAGTCCACCTTGAATAGGAACATAAGGATTTGTTCCCACCCTCTGACTATGATCTCTCTTTTGGGCTGAATTAATGTAATGAGTTCTTTATAAAATTAAATATATTGACATAAAGACTGGCAAAGTTTGTCCCTTCAAGTGTTACAGTGTCTTTTATTTGAGAAATCAGGAAGAGTTGGAAGATATCTTTAACAAAAGATATCCACATTTGGCAAGATAAAAATCTGGCAATCCAGTATTGACTTCTCTCTCCAACACTCCCCTCCCCCTTTTGTAATTTCATGGTCCAGAAAGTTTGAAAGTCTTCAGATCAGTGATTTAAATGATTCAATAAATGGGGCAGTAAAGAAAAGAAGAAATACCAGACAGGAGGATGCAAGCTTGAGGAATATTGTTTTTCAAAATTTTTTATTAGTTTTTTAAGAGACGTGCCTATACAGTAAATGACCTCTTAATGCAATTAGGCTTATAATTAATTGATTGTTTTCTCCAAAAAGTTTAGTTTAATGAGGAATCACTAAAAAATGACCTATGCATACCTTAGTAATTTATTTTAAAATAAGATATAACTTTATATTCACTTATCAATCTTTTATTTGGGGGTGGGGACAGGATTCAGAGTCTGTTGATTGGGTTTCCCTAAGGCCTTTTGTACGGGAACTGCACTAATATGACATACTGCCTTTTACAATTTCGGTTTCTTTAAAGTGGAATGAGAACTTAGCCACATTCAAAACAGTCTAAGACTGGAAACCTCTTAGTTTATCAGGATTTCCCCCAAGTTCTTCAGGTTTGAGTTAAGTTCTTGTGTTCTATGGTGACTGCCTAGTCCTAGTAGCCAAGTTCTACTATTTCCAGGAAATGAATAAAAAAAAAGTTTACATTTTAAAAATGGAATAAAATCTAGAAATGATAGTCTTGCTGGTCTGTAGTCTTTACAGAGCATACACTTGAAGCATGCTCTTATTTCCATTGGGGAAGACTTATACACTAGTACATAGTCGGGTAATCACAGCTTTCCTTCCAGCTTTGCCAATGTATTATTTTACATAAGGCAGTTCTCTGTTTAAAATAGGAAGAGTAGTATACAGTCCTTCCTAAGAGCATTAGTATTGGTGTTTACTAAGTGCTTTGGTTTCCCCCAAACAGGCACTTAAGCACATAAATAAACATTATATTTACTCTGTAGAGAACAGTATTAATAATGGATTATATTGTTTCATTGAGCTTATTGATGATTTTAATAAGGAGGAACAGATATGTAAAACTATGTATTTTCATAGATTCAGCTATCCCTTCATGTAGTGCAATCTTTTGCATTGTGTATAGAATATTGGAACCTATTTATATCTTAAAAAAGTCTTAATGTAGTATGAAATCTTACTCAAGATACATGACTGACAGACTTTCCAATGTCAGGGTGTTCTGTAAAAACAGACACATTTCTTTTTGTACTTCCTGTCTTCTTCTGACCTCTGCTGGTGAGGTCTAGGCATGCCTGACTCCCATCAACTTTGTCCCCACTCACGAGTCCTAACTGAAACGAAAAACAAACTGTAAGATAGGGAAAAACCAAACTGTTTTTCCTACTCTCATACTTGACACAGCACAGAATACTTCTGGTTACCAAGATATGTGTTGGTTTTTCGCCAAGTGGACATAAATGTATTTTCTACAATTTAACTCAGTTCTGCCACTAACCAGAGTAGGTGCAGACCTCACAGGTTAAGAGCTCACTTCCATAAGATTGCCTGTCACATCCGAAGTCAGTTGAAAGCCTCAGCTTATCACCTGTGAGGGGCTATAAATTAGAAGTTCCCACGACCTCCAAGAGGGAACTGGGGGTAGAGATCATATAGTTCTTATTATATCACAATACACACTAATGTTCAAATAGAGCCATTAAAGCATCTGAAGACTTGAATCTGAGCAAATCCCAAGATTTCTTATTCTACGGAGAAGGCTATGTAATATCCATCCATGAATTGTGTATGTGTCTAGCCTTTACTATCTGAATTATTAGCCATGTTAATAGTGGGAAGGGCCTGGGACCAGATAGAACACAAAGCTATGTAGATGATTCAACAAATATTATTGAGTACTTACTGTTCAGCTGGTCCTGTACAGGGTTGAAAATGTAGTCTCAGATCACTGGAGGTTGAGAGGTAACAAAGAAGATATTGGTCCCAGTTTTAATCCTTCCACCCTCCTTGCCCCAGTAGGAGAGGCCAGTTCTGACTTAGAGGCAACATCAACTTAAGACAATAGGGTATTATATCATAAACTTTAAACAGAAGTTTAGCTCTTCCCTGAAAACAGCTCATGGGAAGAAAAGTATACGGCAGTGTAGCATGTTCTTAGCCAAGAGAGGTAATGGAGAGATAGCAGAGGGAGTAGAGGTGGAGATGATGGCCTTTGCATTATGTTCCTTGGCTGCATGTTAGCTCTGACATTCTGAGAGAAGTAGAATTTTCTTATGTCAGGATCTTCTACACAATTTTAAAAATTTCATTGGTGAGAAGCACATGCAGTGCCCAAAATTTAGTTTTGAACATCCTCTCCACTAAAGGGAATCACAGATTCTTGAACTGATGGCTGATTCCAGGTTGGGATAGGGAGAGTATAAGGTGGGCCAAAATCATTTTGTACCAGAACACTAAGAAATGGTAAAAGACAAATAGGGCATATCAAAAGGACAAATTTGAAGGGGAGAAATTACCACTCAGACGGGAAGTAGTCTAACCCACCTCCCAGGGGACAGTTTGAGATTCAAAAAGAATGATGATGATAATGGATTATAATACATGAAATCAAATAATTCTTTAGACTATAGTGATATTGAAAGGGGAGGAGCTAGAAAAGAAACTTTTTAATGTCCAAAGTTAATAATGTCATTTAATAATATAGAAGGAGTGATAGAAAAAAAAACCCAAACACCATTTTACCACCATCACAGCCATAATTGATTCAGGTAGGGATCATCAATGGATGATGAGACCATTGGGTAGAGTTATTAAGGAACGCGACATGCATCCTGTCTCAAAGTATATCACATGGATTATTTATTAGTTACAAAAGGGAATTTCTCTATTAATGGAAAAATTGGGCAAATACCTTTACTGAATGATGAAACTGTAGCATCATCATTGAAAGTGGTACAGCTTGGCATCATGTGCATCTGATATGATGTGGTGGGAAAGACAACATAATTGGGTGATAATCCTGCTAAAATCCAGAGGAGCCAATCACACAAAGCCAGATAGTGTGGCCTGGACTCTTCAAAACGTCAGTGTCATCGAAGACAGAGGCCAGGGCACTTTGGGGACATGCCAGCAAAGGCAATGCAGAATGCATGATTGGATTCCGAGTTGCCCACACCACAGAAAAAAACAGCTGTAAAGGACAGTCTTGGGACAAGTGGGGAATTTGGTGTATGGGCGCTTTATGAGGTAATAATCAGTTTTACATTTCTTGGGTATAATGGTACTGGAATCATGGAGGACAATGTGTTTTCGTTCTTAGGCAATACATACTGGAAATATTTAGGGATGAACTATTCATGTCATAATTTTCTAATGATCGGTTCCCCCTAAAAACCCAAACAGTATAAATGAAATCTAGCAAAGGGTTAATAATCTGTGAATCTCATGAAGCATTTATAAGTATGTGACATGCTATTCTCTCAACTTTTCTGTAGGTTTGAAATATTTCAAAATACAAATTGAGAGAAGTAAGATGTTTGTGTATGAAGCCAACAGAATTATTTGATATCAGTTTCACACAGGCTGTTAACATCAGCAGCTCTGCCTTTTGGCAACACTTTGAAAAGTGTTACCCACATGATGGAATAATTCCATTTCTACTATTCTGCCACATATGGGATATTATTAACTTCTGGTTACTTCTGTGTTACAGCGATCACATTGCTATCAGAAATAACATTCTGGCTTCAGTCTGTCTGTTCATATTCATTCTACTTCCCACCCTTCCACCTTGGACCACAGAATGTTATTAATTCCTTCATAGTGTTCAGTTTTTTTTTCTTATGTAAATTCTGTTTAATTTTTAAATGTTTAACTTTTCTTATATAACAACCACTGTTTTAGGTGATAAAAACATGAACATATCCAGTCTCTATAGTCAAGGAGTTCATACATTGATAATACAGTCTGGGCATTTAAGCCAACTAGAACACAGATGTTAGGTGCTGTAACAATGATCAAAATATTCTCATTTTATAGATGAGACAATTAAGGTGCAGAAAGATTAAGTAGTTTGCCCCCAAATGAAACAGCATGGGACAGAACTCAGATTTGAACCCAGGACATCTGGGTCTTGAATCCATGCCATGGAATGCTAAGGGAACAGTTGGTTTTGTTCCTTGGAACATGCTTGGAACATGGAGAGAACTGGGAAAGGTTCCAGGCATTGGACATTTGACCTAGGTCTTGAGAGGATGCGTAGGATTTTACCAGATGATGGTGAGAAAATCACAGGGAGACAAATAGGAAACATTTGTCACAAAGGCTGAAAATGCATTGTGTATGGGAATGACAAATAGTTCAGGGTGGCCAGATCACGGAAGTAGCAGGAGATAGAACTAGAAGGTGAATTGGGCCGCATTCTGAAAGGCTACTCATGTGTGCTATGCTAAGAAATTTAAACTTTACTTCTAGAAAATGGGTAGCCATTGAAGGGTTGTGGGACATGTATGAAGGGTTGTGGTAGCAGTGTGGAGGCCGGAGTGAAGACAAGGATCCCAGCAGGGAGCTTCTGTTTTCATCCAGGAACTCCGATTACCTGAACTGGGGCAGAGGACAGGATGGAAGCAGGAGACACAACATGGACCCAGCAGCAGAGTGTGATTTGGGGGTGGGAAGTGAGAGAAAAGGAGGACTTAGTGGGTAGTGATGGTGTTAGTTCATGTCAGGGACAGAAGCATACTAGCAGCATGTTTGGGAAAATAGTTTCAGTTATTGTCGACTTTAAAGTCTCTGTTGAACTTGAAGTGGAGTTTCTAATACACTATTATATTCCAGTTTTGTCTTGTTGTGATTGAGTCTGTGGCAAGATGGCATTCCTTAGCTTATTTTTCTGGGGCACTTAAGTTCACATTTGTCATATGTGAGTATGTTTTCAGTTACTTCTTCAAAACAGTTGCTAGAATAGTTAGCTTCAGCATCTTTGGTGAGAAAGTATATTTCATCTATGAATTATAGATTCATGATTGGGGGAAAAAGACTGTCATGTGCATTCAAGTTTGGTATTATTAAATGGACAGCATTATGGAGTTAACACTTAAACTTGATTGAATACTGATACATAATTTTAGAATTCTGTAGCTTCCCAAGGGGTGTGTGTGTATATATATAATATATATATTTTATATATTATATATTATATCATATATACTTTATATATTTTATGTATTTATTTTATATAAGATATATAATTATATATAATATATAAGATAATTATATATTATGTATAATTAGATATTATATGTAGTATGTATTATATATTGTATAAAATATATATTATTTTATTTTATTCTATTTTTTTCCTGTAGAGGAAAGAAAGCATACTTAATGATCCTTAAATTTTTTTTTTGTATGTGTGTGTTTTGTTCTTGCAGTGTGGGAATATATAGCATTTAAAATAATCTGTATATATGATAATCATCAGAATGCAAAAGTGTGCCTTTAAAAAAATGACTACTTCCTAAAGTTATTCATTGATAATTCATGGTCATAAAAATGAAAGATAGCAAGAGACCTGCAAGATCTCAGCAGGGTTGTTCCTGGCAAAGTGTATGTTATTATACTCTTGGGTTGACTTGAACTATTTGGTGTTTTCCTGTTGGTGGAAAAAAGGATTATGCTTTAAAGAAGTCAGGGGAGAAAGTGCAGAAGAACAAAAAATACCAAATGGTGATTTAGATCAATCTTAAGTTTTCACAGCTTGGCCTTCTCTAAAGTCACATTTAGCAGAAACATTAATTAGATTTCAGTGCCCCACTGAGTTTTAAAATTAAACATATTTCTGGAACCATCTGCAACATTTTATCACTAATAATATAATGAGGAATATGCTTAGCCTTTTGAAAAATGTGAATTATAAAATAATATCTTTTGCTCATGAGTGCTCATCTTTTGTGAGAAACCCATACAAAAATTGTAAAAAGAGGTAATTTAAGAGTTTTAAGAATATGCCTAAAATTGAAATTCTATAAAAATGTTCTCATTGGTGAGATACTTTTCCTAAATTCAGGATTTTCTTTGGAATTTTCTGCTGCTTTTAGGTCTAAAAATATTAGTGGTGAGGCATATATGCCATCTGCCAGCATAATGCCTGCCTGTTTGGGGCTGGATTGCAGACAGTCAGTAAGGAGCTGCTGCTTCCATCCAGGAATGATGATTGCCTGAACTAGGGCAGAGGACAGGATGGGAGCCAGAGATGTGGTGGCTCGGAGTGTATGTCCTGGAGCCAGGCTGCCTGGCTTTGAATCTGTCTTCTACCACTTACTAGAGGGGTGACTTGGGACAAATCCCTTAAGCCCTTTATGCCTCTGTTTCCTCATTGTAAAATGGTGACGATCATACCTACCTCGTGGGGTGGCAGTGAGCATGCATCCTTGAGCATAAAATGTGTCCTCAGAATGATTTCCTTTTCTGGGTAGACTTGTATTTCCATTGCTTTTTATTCATATACTTACTACACTCATGGGCTCAGGTACTTAGGAAAAAATATTCCTTCTCCTGGAAGCCAAAGAAGTGAAGAGTGAGCATTTTCCATCTTACTTTCCCCATTCCCCAGCCTTGCCCCTGAATTTCACTTGAGTGCTCACGCAAGAGACCTCCCCCAACTTTGGCAGCCTGGTGTCCTGATGCTTTTGTAAACCCTTTGGAGCTGCTGTCGGCCCCTGCTGTCTCAAAAATACACGCATTCTCACGGCCGCCTAGAACATTCTTTCCTACATTGCATTCCCACATTCCCACCCTAATAATCTCACTGTTCCTCATTTTGGGATCATTTTCTCTGGCATGCCTAGGTGGATTTGACTGCCCCTTCTGCGTGGCCCTTCCTGCCAGTACCAGTGCCTGCTACAACGCAGTGTGTTCCTTGTCCATTGTCCTTAGCACCTGGTCAAACTTCCTTAGGGCAGCAACTAGTACTTAGTATTTTTTTAAATAGTTTTCCTTTAGCATAAGACTCATTACACATTAATCTTTCCATAAATAAATAAACAGCCACTTTTGCTTTTAAAAAACTAACTCTCACTAAAAACGTCAATATACTAGAATTCAGTAAAATAAGATAATTAAATTTCAAAGTTGTGTTTTTGTTCCTTTGTAAAATATTTCAAAATATTAAAATTTTTTTTTGTTTAAATTTGTAGAATACACAATATTTTGGTTACTTTTAAAGTCTTGGAAAATTTAAATAATATCTTTATCTTTTTACCTAGATAGAGCATTTCCTATTAATCTTAACTTTAGCTATGGACTAGTATTGATACAGTTCTGAGATTATCCAACTTTTTAAAAGTTAGATAGGGTATCTGCTAATATAGCATAACTTTTTAGTTCTTTTTTTAGCAGCATTTTCTTTGAAGTTTTTTATAATTTATAAGAAACGAACAATAACAATGAATTTCAATTTCATTTTAGCAAAAGCACCTGGAGATTGAAAGAACTACCAAATGGCTGAAAATGCTGAAAGGATGGGAAAAATACAAGAACACTGAAAAGGTAATTTAAAATAATGTTATTTCCATACGAAACTATATAAACTCAATGTGGATTTTCCTAGTAGAAGTTCTTCTTTAATTATAAGAGTATTACATTCATATTTGGTTTTGAAATTTTGATTTAGCAGTATGCCTCAAATTAGGAGTTTTTGTATTGTAAGTAACATAATACCCGATTCAAATTGGTTTCAACATTTAAGAGTGTGTATTGGGTGGTTCAGAGGTGGGATGGGTTTCAGGAGTGATTTAATTCAGCTGCTTATTGAAGTTGCCTGTGCCATAGTTTCTTCCATCTCTTCTCTGCCTTCTGCACTGTTTGCTCCATCTTGAGGTTGGCTTCCCTTTGAGGTCAGAATCACTGGAGCAGTTCCAGGCTTTATATCCACAAGTCATACTGCTCAGAAAGAGAGAGGTTGGCCTCTGGAAGCATTCCCTCAAGTAGGAGCAATCTTCTTTTTCAAAAGCTTCTAGCAAACCTCCCTTTTAATCTTTCTGCCTTGCATTGAGTTTGTGCTAAGTTAATTAGAGAAAATTACTGACATATATTAATATCACCAGGCGTCTCATCAGAAAAGTCTTTAAACAGTGGGAAGATGTCAAGCTCCTGGGGGTGGAAGTTTTCCAAAGCTGTCAGTTTTATTTGAAAGGTCAGGTATCATCAGTGGCAGTAAATACTCTATCAGTTCTCTTCCTTCAAGTGACAGGCTCATTTAAGGTATTTTTGAGAAAATGCCTGACAAATACCCAATGCTGAGTGACAGTTGCTTAGTTATTCTTTCAAGTAATAACAGTGTTTTGTGAAAATGTTCATGATTCAAACAATTTCATCGTAAGCACTTTTTCTTGAGACAGTCATTGCACTTGGTTGTGCAGCACAGAGCTCCGTATGCACCTCCTGTGTCATCACTCCTCGTTATGTTAATGAGACCTCCATCAAAGGTTGATATTTAATCAAGTTAACACTTTTTACTGCATCATCGAGGGCATTCTTAATTTAAACTGATTTTTTAAAACATGGAGTGAGGAATCACTGATTCTACAGTACAGCATTACTGCTGCCTTCATTTGTGCCAAGAGCTGGCAGTTTTTACCACCATAGCTTTTCTATGATCAGTGCAAAAGTTTCACCGTAGCTTTTTTATGATCATGCAAAAGCCAGCACGGTAAAAAGAAATAGTTTTATTATGAAAATCATTTTTATTTCATGGGCCATATTTTAAGAACACTGACATCTAAGCCTCAGTTTCCTCATCTGCAGAATGGAGATAATAGTGTCCCATTTCAAAGCGACAAAGATTTCATGATTTAATGCATGTAAAGCACTTAGCATTGTATCTTACATAGAATAAGCATTCAGTAAATGTTAACTACCCCTATTAATTTATCGAAGGAAGGGCTGAACAATAAAAACATTTTAAAGGAAAAAAAGAAATCTTGGTCCTGCCAACAAAACACAACTGAGTTAACTGTTGGGATTTTTGTCCATTTCCTCACACTTTTTTCAGTGTAATCCTTTCTTTTCCTTTTTGTATAGGTACAAATTATCTTATGTCAACATTTGCCAATAAGAATTCCAGGGAGCATGAGTTTCTTGGGTTCTGCTAGTTCAACAGAAGCAGTAGTATAGCCTGATGGTGAAGAGGCAGATTCTAGAGGCAGACTATCAGGGGTCAAACCCCAGCCCTCTACTTCCTAGCCACATGACATTGGGAAAGGCATTTAACTTTTTTCTGCTGTACTATCTACCCCGTTAGGCTTGTTGTGAGGATTAAATAAGTTAGTTTATGTAGAGCATAGAATAGTGCCAGGCACTTAATATGCAGTCAGTATGTGTTGCTTATTATTAAATGAGGAAAGGGCTCTCTGATTAAATAAAGTCGGGAAAACCTGAGCTAAACAAAATTAAGCAAGATTTCTTTCTTTACTGTAGGATTATTTGGTCTTTAATATGAGGTATGAATTTTTTTTTAAAATTTATTTATTATTATTATACTTTAAGTTGTAGGGTACATGTGCATAACGTGCAGGTTTGTTACATATGTATACTTGTGCCATGTTGGTGTGCTGCACCCATCAACTCGTCATTTACATCAGGTATAACTCCCAATGCAATCCCTCCCCCCTCCCCCCGCCCCATGATAGGCCCCGGTGTGTGATACTCCCCTTCCTGAGTCCAAGTGATCTCATTGTTCAGTTCCCACCTATGAGTGAGAACATGCGGTGTTTGGTTTTCTGTTCTTGTGATAGTTTGCTAAGAATGATGGTTTCCAGCTGCATCCATGTCCCTACAAAGGACACAAACTCATCCTTTTTTATGGCTGCATAGTATTCCATGGTGTATATGTGCCACATTTTCTTAATCCAATCTGTCACTGATGGACATTTGGGTTGATTCCAAGTCTTTGCTATTGTGAATAGTGCTGCAATAAACATACGTGTGCATGTGTCTTTATAGCAGCATAATTTATAATCCTTTGGGTATATACCCAGTAATGGGATGGCTGGGTCATATGGTACATCTAGTTCTAGATCCTTGAGGAATCGCCATACTGTTTTCCATAATGGTTGAACTAGTTTACAATCCCACCAACAGTGTAAAAGTGTTCCTATTTCTCCACATCCTCTCCAGCACCTGTTGTTTCCTGACTTTTTAATGATCACCATTCTAACTGGTGTGAGATGGTATCTCATTGTGGTTTTGATTTGCATTTCTCTGATGGCCAGTGATGATGAACATTTTTTCATGTGTCTGTTGGCTGTATGAATGTCTTCTTTTGAGAAATGTCTGTTCATATCCTTTGCCCACTTTTTGATGGGGTTGTTTGTTTTTTTCTTGTAAATTTGTTTGAGTTCTTTGTAGGTTCTGGATATTAGCCCTTTGTCAGATGAGTAGATTGCAAAAATTTTCTCCCATTCTGTAGGTTGCCTGTTCACTCTGATGGTAGTTTCTTTTGCTGTGCAGAAGCTCTTTAGTTTAATTAGATCCCATTTGTCAATTTTTGCTTTTGCTGCTGTTGCTTTTGGTGTTTTAGACATGAAGTCTTTGCCCATGCCTATGTCCTGAATGGTACTACCTAGGTTTTCCTCTAGGATTTTTATGGTATTAGGTCTAACATTTAAGTCTCTAATCCATCTTGAATTAATTTTTGTATAAGGAGTAAGGAAAGGATCCAGTTTCAGCTTTCTACTTATGGCTAGCCAATTTTCCCAGCACCATTTATTAAATAGGGAATCCTTTCCCCATTTCTTGTTTCTCTCAGGTTTGTCAAAGATCAGATGGCTGTAGATGTGTGGTATTATTTCTGAGGCCTCTGTTCTGTTCCATTGGTCTATATCTCTGTTTTGGTACCAGTACCATGCTGTTTTGGTTACTGTAGCCTTGTAGTATAGTTTGAAGTCAGGTAGCGTGATGCCTCCAGCTTTGTTCTTTTGGCTTAGGATTGTCTTGGAGATGCGGGCTCTTTTTTGGTTCCATATGAACTTTAAAGCAGTTTTTTCCAATTCTGTGAAGAAACTCATTGGTAGCTTGATGGGGATGGCATTGAATCTATAAATTACCTTGGGCAGTATGGCCATTTTCACGATATTGATTCTTCCTATCCATGAGCATGGTATGTTCTTCCATTTGTTTGTGTCCTCTTTTATTTCACTGAGCAGTGGTTTGTAGTTCTCCTTGAAGAGGTCCTTTACATCCCTTGTAAGTTGGATTCCTAGGTATTTTATTCTTGAGGTATGAATTTTTAAGAGGGATCTTAAATCACATGAAACTTAACCGTGGGAATCTTTTTGACATAGGTATCTTACAGAGCTAATGAGCCTTTTCTTTTTGAGCATACTAAATATCCTTAGTCAGGCTCTTATATTACTTTATTTTCATCAGGAGTGAGTTCATTTGGGGTTGTTGATTTTATTAACTGGCTGTTATTAGCATAAGGTTTGAACTCAGGATGTTTCTAAGGACTGGGTTCAAAGTAGAATATTAGTTACAACATCTGTTCTCTTGTTTAATATTTTGCAGTCTCACATTGGCCTACATTTCACAACTACTTTACATCTTTGTGAAAAGATTGCTCAAGTGGTAATTACAGGGTAGATTTCAATGCATTGCACCTATCCTTTAATCTCACATTCATTCTAATAAAATATTTGTAGAATTATATGGCTTTATGTTCTTCTCTGGTATACATATGCCTATGAAAGTATGTAAGCCTCTCTAAAAATGAGCAATTCTACTGGGCAGAATTCTGCTGTCAGCAATTCTGACAGCAACTCTGGCTAATGCAGTTCCCATTAAGAGAGATTTTAGCAGTGCCATTTCTTTGAAGTATAATTTTGAAGCACTCTCCCATAACTATAATGCTAGAATGATTTGGTGATATATATGGCCCAATTTGGTGTGCAACAGAATGAACCTTCTAAAAGAATTACTGCTTTCAATTCACACCTAGTTTTAAATTGCATTCAAGTAAAAAAACTAGCATTTTTTTTTTCTTGTCTTTCAAGGAGAAGTGTGTTTTCTCTCCACAGATTACTTACTTTTATAGTAGTAATACAGAGAAATTCTAAAAACATTTGAAATAAAAATATAGCTCTGGTAGGGAATATTTGGATTTTTAGAACCCAAGCTTTAATGGAAAAAAAAAAATTCCATTAAGATTGTTTATGTTGCCTCTGTTCTCACAGTGACTGCCTCCCTATGTACAGTAGTATTGTATTGTTAATTTTTTTTGTTTTTTTTTTTTGTTTTTTTGGTTTTTTTTTGAGAGACAGGGTCTCTGTTGCCCGGGCTGGGGTGCAGTTGCACAATTACAGTTCTCTGCAGCCTGCAGCTCCTGGGCTTAAGTGATTGTCCTACCTCGGCCTCCCAAGTAGCTGGGACCATAAGCAAGCACCACCATGCCTGCTAATTGAAAAAAAAAATGTTGTTTGTTTGTTTGTTTGTTTGTTTGTTTTGTGGAGACAGGGTCTTGCTGTGTTGCTCAGGCTGATCTCAAATTCCTGGCGTCAAATGTTTATCCTGCCTCAGCCTCCAAAAGCATTGGGATTACAGGCAGGAGCCACTGTGCCCAGCCTGTATTTTAAAAATACAGTCTATGAAGTGAAGTTATCTCTGTTAAGTGGAGACCATTATGATTTAACTGGTCATGACATACTTGAAATGGAGGCATAATGCTTAGAAATAAATTTCTTAAGGTTACACAGCTTGTTAGCAACAAGCAAAAGAATGTCCAGACTTAGAACTTATTTAACTAACATCTTTTATGCCAGCTTTCCCTTTTGGTGTCTGTCAGGGAAGTAGAATGTAGTTAACACAGTAGGGCCTTGTGGATGGTTTAAAACTTTTTTAGATGCAGATTTGGGAGACTTGTTGCTGTTTGAAGGCAGAAACAAAGGAGCCAGTGGAGCGGGGATGATTAGAGAAAATGGAGAGGCAGTAAAAGGCATAAGCAGCTCGAGTGAGCCTCTGTTTCATGGCGCACACTCGCACAAAACTTAGCTAGAATTGCTGGGCTGAAAAGTTTACTCACTGGCAGTCATAATGATGTGGATTGCACACTTGTCACTGAATCACCAAGGTTTAGAAAAAGGTACTGAAAACATTAGTCATTTGTTGGAATTTTTTTTTAAGTTGATAGATTTTTAAACGTTTCTGGGGGACTACTGTAGACTTTTTAAAGATTTTATGTATCATATCTATGAAATAAATTTGTAGAAGAATCTTAAAGGTAATACTTTTCAAATTGGAATACTGAAATGTTGTTACAATTCAATATGTAGAAGTTCTTTATCATGGTTGTTAAGAGTATGGATTCTGAAGTCAGACTCAGACTGAATTTGAGTTCTTGTGACGCAGTTTCTTTTGAGCTAGTTACCTAGCCTTTCTATGTCTTAATTTTTTCATTTGTGAAATGGATATGTTAATAATAGCACCTACCTCTTTAGGGATGCAGTAATATTACAATGAATAAATTAATTTAGAAACACATAGCATAGTGTCAGCTCATAATAAATAAAGTGTTCTTTAACTATTGTTATTATTACTGTTGGACTCATCATTATCCACATCCCTGCTCCCACCCCCACTTTTCCCTTCCTAGCACGTTCTTATTCAGTAATGAATTTATTGTCATTTTGTCTAAAGGAAATCCTTTCCACCTCTCACAGGATTAGTTCCTCCTTTCTTCTGTTATCTCTAAGATAGGCTCAGGATGACAGTGCCTGTGTTGGACCCATAAGAAGTGATCATCACAGCAGATTCATGGCGCTCACCCCAGCAACTTTGTCCCTAACCGTTTTCTAGTTCTCTCTTAGAATTGTATGTATCCTTTTGTAGAAGGGCTAGCCACTCCCTGATAGCTTCTCTTGCAGATCCAGACAGTGTGATGCCCACCATTCTTCTTTGAACACTGGCTCACTGGGGAGTCTGTCTCTACCACCACCTCCCCCGTCAGCACTGTTAGCAGTTCATGCATGTGACTGTATTTTATGATAAAGGATTCTCTGTTTAAGTTAAAATTATCAGCTTATGTATTTCTCTTCCCACCACACTGTGAGCTCCACAGATCTTTTTCATGTTTGTAGCCACAGGACCTCATAAGCGTTGGCCACAAAGCAGGCATTCATTGTAAGTATCATTTTAGAATGAATGAATGATGTTCGTTTATGAGTTGAGGACAACCAGCTATCACTTTTTACTGATAAATTCTGCCACTTTAATAAAGCGGTAATTTTTAGAAGACAGTGTGATTTGGCAGAAAGTCCCCGAATCTGTAATAAGATGGAACTTTTTGATCTAGGGCAGATACTTTTCTTCTGTATCTTGTTTTACTTCCATTGTAAGTGGAACCCGTGCACTGAACCTACATTATGGGGCTGATGTGGAGAAGATGAAATGCTGCTCTGTAGTTGAAGGATTATCAACAACTGTAAACTGGACTACTGTTCTGGGGAATAAGCAGATTTCATCCAAACTGTTGTGTTTGGATGTAATTCCTACTTTGTTTTATAAAGTTTCTAAAACTTCTATGATAGTTGAAAATTTGTGAAGAAAGATGTGTAACTGTAATAAGTTAGTAATAGTACAAGTATTTGAAAAACAATCAGCATAATTAGAAAATTTTTATTTTAGGGTCTTATAATTTCTTTTTCTGCTATATGTGATTTTGTGTACATATTTTGTTTTGTCACCTCCTACTGCTTGGATTCCAAAGACATCGTTTTTATATTCCTTTTAAGTTTTTGGTGTAATTATATTATCATTATTTTAGTGCTTTCTGCTCTTGGGCTTTCTTAACACTTTCCTGTTCGCTATTCCATGTATTTCAGTAAGTCCAATGGGGCAAAACCATGTACCATGTACACAGGGAGATGGTCTTTGTTCCATGTGCCGTGGACACAGGGAGATGGTCTTTGTTCCATGTGCCATGGACATTGGGAGATGGTCCTTGTTTTTTTATGAACTGTAAAATCAGTCATCTTTTATAACATCTTGTGCTTACTTTTGGGCAAGTTATTTAACCTCTTTGTGATTCACTTTCTCCGTCGGTAAAATTGAGTTGTTGGTATAATTAAAGTTATAGAATTGTTGGTATAATTAAATGAGGTAAATATCCATAAATAGCTTAAAGGGAAGGGATAAAATAAAAGTTTAACTAGTTAAATAGTTTCTTATTTAAATGGTTATTAAATAGTTTCTAATAGTTGTTAAATAGTTTCTTAAAATAGTTTCTTGTGCATGGTAAATGCCCAGTAAAAGTTTGGGTTAATTGTTGCCATGGGTGATGATAATGACACTGTATCAGTGTTTTTTCTTAACCTTTCCCATATGTGCCTGATTTTTAATTTTAGCTCTGTACTAGTATAGGGACCATTAATTTTTTATTTCTACCCCAAAATTTCCTACTTTTTAATGTAATCACATCTGTTTGATGGAGTTTTTTTCCTAAATCTAGATTTAACTTTAGGATAAATGGTGGACAGTAACTTACGTACAATTATTGAGTACACAATTGAGCAATAGCAACAAAATAATGTCTGAAGGTTTTTCAAGTAATATAGCTTAAGAAGTGTCAGAGCTCTTATGTTACTCATTAAAAATGTCATTTTACTTGTTTGGTCATATTACGCTTTCCTATTAAAATTTTACTTTTAGCATTTGCAGTGATTTCTACACTTTCTGATACTCAAATCAGTTGCCTGTGGTATGACATCTTTACTCTAGAAATTTAGAAGATAATTTGAAGTGACTTTTTGTGGATGATATTACTTTAAAATCACAGTTTACTATAATTGTGAAGTGGTATAGATCATAAACTTCCTTTGGGAAAACAAGTCTTAAATTCACTTGTTTTTAACCATACTCAGTTTGCAATTAATGGTTGTAAATGTCGAGCATGAGGCAAATGTTGCAAGTCTAGTTTTATCATCAGCATGAAGCCTTCCTGTACATACTCCTCCAGTTAAGGTGATTGCCTGGGATTAAAATTTATATGACTGTAGTCACTATCTGCTGAAATTTCAAATTCGAAGCATACTATATTTATACCAAAAGAACAAAACAAATTTTATAAGTCATTATTTGATTCAACTTTACAGTATTCACTGTTTTTTAATAAAAGTTGTTCGACTTGGTCACTCACCTTCAACCACATGATTGAAGTTTCTTAAAGCTGCCTTATGACTTAGATTTAAAAAAATCTAAGTAGTGTAATAGAAGTTAAAGCCTTGTGTACGGTTATTGCAGCTCTTCAATATCTCAGTTATTAGAACTGGCATCTTATTTTCTGAACCATAACATTCAACTATATTATGGTGATAATAAGAGTACCAGTTTTTACCTGAAGGGCTTCTGCTATAATTTATTTAGTTACTTCCCTGTTTGGACATCTATTTTTAAGTTTCAAAGTGTTATGCACAACATTGTGATGGCCGTAATAGGTTTTATGTTATTCTGAGTAATTAGACTTGAGGAAAAAATTAATTACAAGAAGATGGAGAGGTATATTGAACTTAAGAATCTTAGGGCAATAGCAGTAGACTTTCAAGGATGGAGGGAGTTGATGATACTGTTGTTTTATGCCTAATTTCATTCAAAAGTGGTGTCTTTATGGAGATTTATCATTTTTGTCTTATCAGATAGCATCAGTGTCATTTAAGAAAAAGAAAAAGGTTTTCCTGAAGAAAT